AGGTTTGAAGGTTCGAATCCACCTAGAGGCACCTCGGAAGAAAGTCCTGGCAAACTGGGATTGAAAGTGCTCAGGATCACAGTTGGACTGAGGCACACATGCGGTTTGCCAGGAGTGGGAGCTGACTGTTGGCAGCAACTGTACTGACTCCGAGCCAGCTCTTGATCCAGAACCTCTTGGGATTTTCCCGACTGGGGTTTTCCTTTGCCCATATGTGGAAAGTATTCTACATGGTGGGCACCCTCCTAGGGGCTTTGGAGGGTGCTTTTTATTTCGGGGCAGTCTAGTGTGAGGGAGAGGCTCGGGGGCAAAAAGGACGGGGGTCAGATTCTCAACATTACCGCTGTGCAAAACAGCAAGCTCTCAGAGTCACTAAACCAAAACGGAACTCACAGCCATCGCGTCCGCCCTATGAGGCAAGGTGGACCTGCCCCTGTGAGTTCCCAAGACTGAAATGACTTACTGGAGTAGAAAGCCCCCTCTTTCTCGCCCACGGAACGGCTGGTGGTTTTGAACTGCCAACCTTGCTGTAAGCAGCCCACCTCGTAACCACTGCACCGCCAGGCCTCCTTTCTCAGAGTTCCGGTTACCTCCCAGTTACCTCCCATGTAAATTGGAGACAGTCACATCTAGCTTATGTGATTTCTGTGAAGACAAACTTAGATGAAAGAAGATGAATTTGTTTCCCGGTTGTAGTTGTCCTAAAACCGCACGGACGAGCAATGGCTTGATGTGTCAATTGAAAACAGCTGACGGTGTGGGGGGCAGACGTTGAAAAATGGATCTCGTGTGACTGAAATCCAGGTGGCAGCAAATCCACCCTCCTTTCTTGAGGCTGGGGGGCGGTTGCAGGTTGGGGATGCGGGGCATGAGGCTCCTTCTTGGTCATCTCAAGGCTACCTTGTCTCTGGCTCACGGCCCCGTTCTTGCCCTTAAAGTCAGCAGCGTGCGGCTCTGTCTCTCTCACTCCCATCACTCCACTTCCCACACTCTCTTCTGTCTCCCTCGGCCTGTGGTGACCTTGGGTCGATCCAGAAACCCAGGAGAATCTTGCAATATCCGGCTCAGCTGGTTAGTACCCTGACTGCCATCGGCACGCAGCAGCTTCTTACCACAGAAGAGATGTGAAGGGTTAGCGCTGTGCGGCTCAGGAGACAGGGTCATTGTTGCCCATCAGGACAGTGCTCAGCGTCTTGGCTGTGCCCACTAGAGATCCTTCACCAGGCCTCTGCCCTGCATGGGCAAGAGTGAACGGCGCCTCAGCTCCATCAGCAAGTGCTGGGAGGCCCCGTCTCCCTCAGCCAGCCTCTTGCCCAATGGTGCTCGGGTTTCTCTTGCTCCTTGGGTCCACGAGCCCACCACACTGATGTCACCTGTGGAGCTCTCTGCCGTACTCTGCTGCTGCCTCCCATCGTGATATACCATCCCCATGGTCCCGATGACCCGAGTTACAGTTCTTTCAGGAGGGCCCCTCCCTCCCCCTCTGCCGCTCACTAACCCCCCGTTGGGTTGGCTGCTTATCAAAGCAAGTTCTTTCTCAGTTTTGCTGCATGGCCTCACTGCCGTGAGGCTGGCTGTCCAGAGGGCATGGCCTGCCACAGAGTGGGCAGCTAGTCAGGGCTTCATAATTTCTTCACTTCACTTTGTTTTTTTCTGCTCGTGACCCGCGAGTGGCATCCATTGCTGACCCCTGCTGTTGGCACCAGGAATAAAAGAGGTTGCTGAGTGTAGCTGTTCACAACAAGAAGCAAAGAGCGGCGAAAAGGGATAGCCCGCTGTTTCTACAGGTGCCGTCCACCCCACACCCCCACCCCGCATGTGAGTGTGCAGGGGCAAGGCCGTTGGCAGGCTGTCCTCAGGCATAGGTCCCCATCACTGTTCAACACAAAACTTAAGTCTTCAGAAGGAAACTGTGCATCCGGAGAGGATGTTTCTTATATTCCATAACATTGTTATGATAAATGAGCTAGGCCGTGGCATCACTGCGGAGACCCAGGGGCCGGAGTCACCCCTAACATTGTCAGAGGGGTGACACCCAAGGGGCCCCAGGGTCGGTGGTAGCAGCAGGCCGGAGCTACCTACCTGGGGAGGGGCCACCAGATGGTGGCACCGTCACGTTGGTGTCACCCATTGCACAGTCAGGGTGTGGGCAGGTGGGCTGTGGTCCCCTTGTTGGGTGGAGAGGAGGAACTTCCCCTTGGCAGTATGAGAGGGCAGCAGCTTTGAGGAACCCTGCTGGCAGGGAGGATTAGAGCGCCCCCAGAAGGGCACCTGTCCCAGCAGGGGATGGAGTCCGCAGCAGTGGGGTTCAGCTGCTCTGCTCACAGCTCACAGTGAGGAAGGAGACATTTGCAGGCTCGTCCTGCCTTCCTGGGAGTTTGGGGCATACCATGAGTTCCGACACGACAAGGGGCGACAGCAACTTTAGTGACTCCACTGTGGCTGATGCTGCCTCATCACAACCCTATAGGACAGGGTCGAACTGTCTGTGGGTTTCTGACACAGTTGCTCTGTGGGAGTAGAAAGCCTCGTTTTCCCTCGGAGTGGCTGCTGGTTTCAAACTGCCGACCTTGTGATTAGCAGCCCCATGCATAACCCACTAAGCCACCAGGGCTCCTTGACTGCAACTAAGCATTACAATTTTAGAACAAAGAAAACTTTAAAAACTGCTGGGGGGAAGGGTGGAAGGGACATACTGTTCTTAACACAACTCAGTATTCTTCCATAAAAGGGAATATTTTTACAAGGAGGGAAAAAATTTAAAAAAGACTTGATAGGCTCACCCACCTTCAAATTCATGTCGAGGAAGAACTCGCATTGGGCCAAAGTCCTTAAAGTTTTATCCTAAAAACACCAGGGGTTACGCAGGGGTTTTCTTTGGGATCCCAAGCAGCTATCGCAGCGCGCACAGCGTGCGGCAGAGCTGGGAAAGGTCATTCCTGCTTACCATGAGGGGTCTTTCTCATGCCAAGACAACTGCTTTGTAGAAGCTTCCAAAATGCTTTTGCAAAAAAGAAGACAAAAAAATGTCCCCAGAATACTTGGCTTTCTTGTAGTGATTGTAACTCGCTGCCAGAGGCCTGCAGTCCATTCCGCAGCTCCCTGGGTGGCAGCATCTCTGATGGTGTCTCTGCGGAGCAGACTAGCCTCCTGAGCCAGGGGCTGGTACTGGGCAGGGTAGGTCAGGCCAGCGAAGGCCCAAGAAGGAGCTGAGGTCACCGCTACAGACAGCCCAGGGGCCAGCAGCTTGTCGCCTCTTTCATTGCTGTGTCTCTGTGCTACTGATGGACCAACCCCAATTGGTTCCAGCAGGACTTGTGGGCTGGGGCAGCACTGGGTTGGGATGTTTTCTTGATGTGCACTTAACCTTACATAAAACTCTCTTATACATATGATTTTCTGTGCATTTGTTTCTCTAAAGTTCCCAGACTAACACATCATGGTACCTTGGGAGTGGGGTACTGGAGAAACAAATCATAAGATGGGGAGTGGATGTCTGTTTGACCTCTCCCTCAGGGTAGTTGTTCTTCTTTGTCTAGCCAGAGGTCAGATCAAGCCACACTGTTTACTCGGTTGTTTCTTGGAAAAATATGGGAAATATGAAAATAGAAAGTTTGTAAGCCCACATGCTTTCAGCCATTAAAATTTGATCGTTAGATGGGTTTAGGCCATGTTTGTAAAGAAAGCTTTGAAAAGATATACCCCACCAGGGTTGTATCGGGGTAGGTCCATGCGGCTTCCCCTCAGGGATGTCTTGCAGGAAGTGAGCCTTGCCAGCTGAAGCAGGGAACTGTTAAAGGCAGCTGCATCCTGGTCCGATCATCACAAAGCAAGAGACCCGAGAACAAGAAAGGCAAAGCTCGCCGAGCCATTTATCCCTTTAATTAACCCCACATGTGTTTATCAGCCAGGTTGGCATGATAAACTAACTACCTCAGCTATCAACCACAAGGTCAGCAGTTCACACCCACCAGCTGCTTCGTGGGAGAGAGATGAAGCGTTCTGCTCCTGGAAAGATTTACAGCCTCGGAGACCCTCAGGGAGGTTCTTCTCCTCCAGGGGGTTGCTGTGAGTTGGAACAGACTCAGTAGTGGTGAGTTTGTGCCAGACAACCGTGCCGTGGAAACTTCTGAAGTAATTTGCAAAGGAAATAGGAAAGAAGGACTTGGATATGGCCTGAGCTAAGCCAGAGAGGAGCAGAGCGAACCCGACATTGAACCTCTGAGGGGTTCATTTGATGTGCATACAGACCATCTTTTTTCGCTTGTGTCTGCTAAGACTTCCATCTGCTGGTTTTTAAATTGGATATTGGAATCCTCTTCCTCCCATAAGCAATTCTCATTAACAAGAATTGTGGACCTTAAATCAGTTGGACATTTTTAGAGACTCTCACATCGTTCTCTTGTTATGTCCTATGATATAATCATAAAATCCCATCACTCGGTGGTTATATTGGGCCCCAAACCATAGCCACTGCCAGTGAGTCAATTCCAACTCACAGCGGCCCTATGTAGGGCTCCGGAGACTGTGAGTCTTTACAGGAGTCAACGGTCTCGTCTTCTCCCTAAAGCAAGGAGGGGAGTGGATTTTAACGGGCGGCTCTGCAGTTAGCAGCCCAGTGTTTACCCAGCATCTCAAGAGTACAGAAAGCTGGAGTTTGGGACCACTCCTTTACACATATGTAAACTTCGGGTCATAGTTTCCTTTGTAATGAACCTACCAGCCCTGGATGTAAGTGGAAAGGCTGACTTCATCCCCCATAGCAATGACCATGGGGTTGGTGAGGTACAAACACAGGCATATTAGCAGACAGTGTCATGTCTCATGAAATAATGATTGCTTCTTGGACTGTTTTCGTTTATGTAGTCTTTTCTAAAGCAGGAACTAGGTGGAGGGAAGGACTTGCAGGCTGTGTGTGGAAGAAGTGGCTGGGGGATTGGTGGGCATTATGCAGAAAGGCACCATCCAGTCCAGGCAGAAAGTCTGACTAGAAGTCGGCCATGGAAATCTCCAAACTGGAGCTGGCGAAACTGAAAGATATGAACACGTCTCGCGTGTGAAATAGCCTCTTTTCACCCTAGGTATAGAATGCTGACGGACACTCCTCTCGTCAACAGGTACACAGTGCCATGGATTTGGCCTTGATTCAGGCCCTGGCTATGAACAGCAGGGACTGGCCTGCGGGAGGTGTGGGTCCTAGTGTTGAGAGCATGTCTTACTGCATGATGATGAGGAACAGGTGGTCTTTGAACTGGGAAGGACGGGTAAGCACTCCCAGGTCACAGGACTTCTGGGAAAACTGTTTGAACGTCCCCTCCTTTTATTTACTAAGGTTTTTGAGCATCTCCTATGTGCTAAGGACTTGGTGGGGGGTGGGGGCTTGCCATAGTGCTTGAGACCCAGGCCCTGCTTCCCAGGGGCTTGCATTTCCAGAGGAGAAGGAAGGGGACAGGATGGGGAGAATCCATGGAGAAAAGTGCCTGGTACTGGTACGAGCATCTTAAGTGACCACTGCATTCTAAAGGAATTCAGGCGCTCACTTTGGGGACAAGCCATCAAGGGAGGTTTCTCAGAAGGACACTCTAGTACCTGGGCTGGTAACAGAGAAAGGACTTCTCTTATGGCAGGAAAGAGAATGGCGGGAAGGGGGCGGGGCGGCAGGGGAGGACAGGGGGACCAGCCAAGCCTTCCAGACAAAGGGACAGAACCAACAGAAGGGGAGAGGTGGGAGGGTCCCAGAGGGCAGCAGGAAGGAGGGAGGAAAGTGCCCATCCAGTGGAGGCTGATGGCTGAGGTTTGATGTGGCCGCCTCCGAGGAAGGCCAGTGCTGGCTTTGATCCCAGTGTGGGGTGTGCTGGGGACACTTGGGTGGAATGGCAGGAATGACCTGAACGGAATGAGAGGGAGTGACCGCAGAGACTGGACCAAGAGAGCCCTGCTTTTTCCCCTCTGAGAATGGGACTCTCCTCAAGGGGCTATTGGGGTCCCGGGAAACCCTCTGGCAAGTGCCGGGCAAACTCTGAGGAAGAAGGACCAGCAAGCGCCAGGCTAACAGCTGCTGTTGTCTAGTCGGTGAGGAGTCACCCAGAGCCACCCTGAAGGACAGAGTAGAAATGGCTCCACGGGGTCTCAGACACTAGATAGCCTCACCTTCTCCTGCAGAATGGCCGATGGCCCCATAGCCAGCCCACTGCGCCCCCTGTGCTGCCAGGGAGTCCCAAAGGCTTCAGTCACAGCCGTTGGGGGTGACATTATTTCGACACATTTATCTCTTAGAAATCATTTCCCAGCCAGCCAAGCACACTTCCGTCAAAGGATCAGTCAGTTCTTTCGACTGCGTTTCCCTGTGGAAAACGTCTTAAATAGTTTCGTGCTGATAAGCAACCATCACTGGGCTACTTGGAAGTCACAGCCTTATTTTGTCAAATAACATTCCTTCATCTGCTATCAGGGTGTTTTGGAGACAGAATTGAAAGCAGCCCTTTAGTAAAAAGAGCCAGAAAGTCTTGGTCAAGGGCTTGGAAAAGTAAGCAAGCGTTGTCACAGTGGGATGTGTGGTAACCACTAGTTAGAGTGGGTGACCGTGGGCAGAAGCCTTCGCTGTCCGGTGCCAGAGTGATGGATGTCCCGCTGCCACGCGAGGTTTCCCACTGAACGTTCAGAGCAAGGCTGGGAGCGATCATTAATCACACCCCGTCTGTGGCTGAGAACAGAGTAGAGCGGCGCCTCGCCCAACGCTGTGGAAAAACCAGTAGCAGAGTCAGGTCTCGAAGCCACGTCTCTCATCTTTCATTCTTATGCCTTACCCCCGGCGCCCCGCCCACGGGAAGGCTGAGCAGCGTCCAAGTGGGACTTCTTCCCGCAGGTGACTGTTTGTTAGAGAGCCTGACTGGCTCTCCTGCGGGAAAGGAAGTCGACCTGAAAGATGTTGTTATCCTTGGTGGTTCTAAGTGACGCTTTTGTTTAAAACCTGATCTGGTGACTCCGCTCATCTGCGGTGCAAAAGCGTATGCTTGCTCCACTCGAGACCAAGCTCCCTGCCGCGGAGGTGATTCCTCCGAGCAGCCAGAGTGGAACTTCCCCTGTGGTTTTCCACGACTGCAAATCTTTACAGGACCAGGGAGTCTCAGCTTTCTCCTGTGCAGCGTTTGATGGTTTTGAACTGCGGACCAATGCCCTCTCCATATTTCAGACACTTGATTGGGCCACCCTGAAGAGATGATCCAAGGAACGACTTTCTTAGAAGGGAAGTCAAGTCTTTTGAGTTCTTGGTCCTTTGAGCATAGGTAAAAGCATCAGTCACCTCTATGCTTAGGGTTTTTGTTTGCCCCTGAGTCCTTCCAGGGCAAAGCATTGCTGGGCTTTTAGGAACTTCGCTATTAACTGCAAGCTTGGTGGGCTGAACCTACCAGGGGCTGTGTCAGAGAACCAGGAAGCTGTCTGTTTCCATAACAAATCCATAGCCTTGGACACCCTGCGGGGCCAATTCTGCTCTGTTCGATAGTCACTGAGAGTCAGAATGAACACTATGGCCACGGGGTTAACACTCTGACCTGATCGACTGGATGTGGAGGGGGGCCCCACGCCAGAGATGAAGCTATTGAACACACATGCGATGGTGTCCTGGCCAAGGTTGTAGAACGTGTGGAAGTGTGGAACGCTACGAGGATCTTTGCTGACAGGCTGCAGGAGGGTGGCTATGAAGACCACACTTTTCCATCTTGTGTCCAGCAGACTGGCTGTTTGTCAATTTGGACCTTGTTGTAAGACAAGTCTGCCCTCAGAGGCCAGTGCGGTGACCTATGCAAGGCCTGCAGGCTGTAGCAGTTCCCACAGAGGAGCTCAAAACATATTTGGTGGCAAACATTTCACCGGATGACCAATTTGCCGGGGCTTCTGCCCCTCCGGCTGTGCAAATTCTGTGTGATACGTGTGTGAGAGAGCAGGATGGGGAGTGGTTCAGGCAGGGGCTGGAGTCCCCAATAGGCAAGGAAGCACGGCCTTACTTATGCTTACGTACTCATGTGCAGTGAAAAGCTTCCTGTGGGCTTAACCAGAAAAGAGCTTATCCAGGTACTCCATCCCTGTCAGGGAGGTGCTTCTTAAAAGATGCCTTGATTCTCGAGAGCAGTGGGTCTCAACCTGCCTAATGCTGCGACCCTTTCATACAGTTCCTCGTGTTGTTGTGACCCCCCGCCAACCACAAAATTATTTTCATTGCTACTACATAACTGTCATTTTGCTCCTGTTATGAATCTGGCGACCCACAGGTTGAGAACCGCTGCTCTATAGGAAGCTATTGTGGGGATCAGGAGAGACAGACGCCAACCCTATCTTTGACATGGTTTAAAAAACACGAGATGGTTGACTGCAGATTATCAGGAACCAGTAATCCATGCTTATCTTGCTTACTGGGTAATCCATAAGACCCGGCATTGTTCTAACCCCTGGTTTATGAAAGAGAGATCGGTGGGACGGATACTTACTGAAGGTCATGCAGTTAATTCTGGACCTGGGATTTCAAGCCTGGTGCTCTGGCCCCACCGTCACTGCTATCCTAGGTAGAAAATGCCCACGAGGTGGCAGGGAGTCAATGGCAGTCTGGCTCCTTCTCTGCTCCGGTGGGGAACATATCCTTGACCTTTTGTTGCCTGAGAAGGCTGCCTTTCTGGGCTCCAGGGTGCAGCGGGAGGTCCAGGAGAGGCACAGGTCCTGATGGTCAGAGCACCAGAGGAGGTAGGAGTCAGGGATGGACGGGCCCAGGTCTTTCTGAAGTGTCTGATCACACACTGACGTCCTCAGGGATTCCCCAACCACCTGTTCTCCTTTCTTACTTTGCCTTGAGTAGGGAAGCAACCTTTGGGGTGACAGAATGCCATAATATGGATCTATAAGTAACAAGAACCAAAGCTAACGAGGCAAAAGTGAGACAGCTGAAGAGATTGGCTCTTTCACACAGCTTTGGGTATGTCCAGAACAAATGGCCAGACCTAATTTGCAAACCTAGATGGGACTAAGCCCCTGTCCCGGGGGGCTCCACTCCCCACCTGAGCGACCTTCACAGGTGCTTTGGGGCACAGGTTCCCTCCCTGCATTTACAAGGTCAGGTGAGCAGCTTTCTCTCAGGTAGCAGTCTGTTAACGTGAGAAGACCATACATACTGCCAATACGTCCTTTCCATTAAAAGAGACAAAGTGATAGCCCTGATTTAGATATCCCTTCCCCCCAGGCTGCTATCCTACAATTAAAATTAAGAATCCAATGTTCTGTTCAGCTAAGTGAAAATTCAGTGCATTCCCTCCCTTCCTTCCTTCCTTCCTTCCTTCCTTCCTTCCTTCCTTCCTTCCTTCCTTCCAGCTGATGTTCCTGAGCTCCTTCTGTGGGGCAGTCGGCATCAGGCTAGACACTGAGCAGAGAGAGATCGCCCTTACCTTCTTGCAGTTAAAGGGTTTAGTTTAGGGCTCTATGGCTCTGCTGACTTCTTCGTTGTCCATTTGAGCTTGTAGTAGCTTCCAACATCCTGACCATCCCTGGCTGCATCTCCACATGGCGTTTGTCCTGTGAGCCAGCATCTGTATTTGGATCCATTTTGCATGTTTTTATAACCCAGAAGTGATTAGTCTAGGACCTACCTTCCCTATGCATGGCCCAATTAACGTGACAGAGGGAACCCGGTTTCCAAACAGGATCGCACCCACAGGTCTTGGCACCCAGGCTTCAATACATTTGAGAAGGCGGCAGCATAATTCAATCCACAACAGTGTCAATTACCCCCCAAAGTTTACTTGTACCGCTTGGTGATTCACTGTCCCTTATCCTTAGGTAATGTTAGGTTTACTGCCTGTCACTACAGCTAAACTTGCATTTTCCAAAATTATCAGTAAATTAAATCATACGGTGTATACTCCTTTCCACCTAACTTTTTTTCACTACATGATGATCTCGAGCTTCCTTCATGGTGTTCCACGTACCGCTGCATTCATTGCATCGCAGAAAAGCATTCCATTTTATGGGCATAAGTCAATTTGCTTATCCTTCCATTTGTTGGCATGTA